GACTGGAAGTGGAATACCCAGCTAACAAGATCCTGAAGTGGGTCCTTCCAACGCCCGACTTCCTGGCTCCCCATTGCAAATCAGTCACTGCCATTCTGGAGGTTCTGACGATCGACCCCCCAATTTTCCCAGAACAATGGCAATGTCTCATCGGAGACAAAGTCGCCGCCGTCATAGTCTCGACCAAAGCATCACCAATCTGCTTCAGATGCAGAGCCAGGGGTCACCTGGGAATGGATCCCAACTGCCCGTGCTCCACTGAGCAGAAGAAGCTGAGACAAAACATGCGGTAGAAGTGGAAGAAGCTAAAGGAATCTGGTTTGTCAATGACCCAGACTACGACGTCTGGGTCTTTGACGACAACATCCCAGATCCCAAATGGATCTGGACTTACAACAACGCGACCCCGTCAATCAAACAGCCAGACATTTTCCCTCCCTCAGACAGCAAATGGCATCACGTGGGGGCAAAAAAGATCTCCGGGATCCCAGGGAAAATTCACTAGGACCCGGTCATCAACTCCCAAGCGATCAAAGAAGAAAAGAAACACAAGCACTTGATGTGGGACCTGGAATCAATCCGACAGCAAACAACAAGCTCTTTCTCCAGTACAGAAGACTATAACAGCATTCTGGATGCATCCAAGGACATCATTGAGGGCTGCAACGCTCAGACCGACCCCTCTCTCAAGCGGCAAGCCTCCCCCCAAAAGACAGACGATGACGAACCGAGCGCAAAGAAGAAGCGGAAAGGAAACACAGCCAGTGGCGACAACGACCCCTCAGGGGAACAGACTCCACACACCACAGAGCTGGGGTCTGATCCTAGTCCCGAAACTGACCACGACCCGACCCAGACTGGGATGGACATCTCCCCCACAAAAAAAGTGAACAGCGCGTTCCAAAAAGGCAGGGGAGACTCCCCCCCTCGAATGGCTCAAAGATTACCTCGAAAAAGCCAAAAACAAGAGGGAAAAGGAGTTCAACATCAGAATGGCATGCATGAAACACCAGGAGAAAACAGGGAGAAACAGCAAGTCGATGGTAGCTGGAATTCAAACATCAAAAAGTAGTTACGAAATTCTGAGACAACAAACCGAAATGTCGGAATTCAGCGCCTTCCGGTACCACGAGAAGAAGAGGTAAAGAGAAATGTCGGGATCTGAATCGTAATCCAGCGCTGACACACAGTCCCACAAGGACCCGATCAGAGACATGATACCGAAGAAATGGAAGCCTTCGAAGGGCCGAGAGAAGAGGATCAAGAAAGCCCAAGCTGTAACATCTGAGTAGGATAACGAACAGCGGTCCATCAAGTGCAAGATCGCCATTGTCGTACCTCAGACAAAATGCCTGTTCGACCAGAATGCAGAATACCGCCAAAAACTCTGCAAAGACTACTGCACAATCCAAAATGTCGCGGAGAACAGGGCTCCCCACGTCACGGAGAAAGTTGCTTCAGACCGTAAGACCATAAAAAAGGTCAGACCGTAAGACCATCAAAGCGGTCAGACCTCTTGTCCCAGTCCGATACAGGAGGAAATTCGGCGAGTGGCAGGTAGCCACCGATGTATCATTTACCATCCCAATGCAGGGACAGCAACGAGCTCTGGCCA